AATAAATAAAATCTTTAAAAAAAAAAGAAATGAGGGTGTCAGAATTGTGGAAGTATTTCTTGAATATAGAGTTATGGCCATCGAATACAGGACCAGGTCAGAGTCAGCACTATACAGGTGCTGTGGTGGGCTTTGTTTTGTAGGTAAGGTTTAGGTGCCTAGGCTGCTACTTTACTTCTGGGGTTGCTGCTCCCATTTGGGGTTCCCTTTCTGTTATGACTGCCATGTTTTTCTCCCTTGCCTCCAGAGACCTGTTTTTCTGTTGCAATCTACTACTCTCTGCTTCCCTTTTAGATTGTCCTGGCTCCGTCTTTGCCAGCTCTTCCTTCCTATCTGACAGCCTGCTCATCCACTGAATTCCTCCCTGTTTGACCTTCGGGGATGATGACTTGCCCTGAGACTCCTCCGTGCTCCACCAGTCCACTTGCCATCTCTAGTCTTTCATACCTTTATAGTTGGAATTGAACTTTGGGTTTGAAGCAAAGGTAGATAACAATTTCTAGGTCTAGATCCTGTTTATTAAGTTTGACTTTGTAACCAAACTATGAAACAAAGGAGGAATAGATTAGCATGGGTAAACTGGGAAGCATACTTTCAAAAATGTCCTTCGATTTTTAAAAGAAAAACATACCTAGTTTACTTAACAAGAAATGCATTTTCATTTCTACTGGCCTTTAGCTAGTATGTCTTTTAATAGTAAGGATTGAAAATCTTTACAGTGCCCTTACTTTTCCAGACCAGAAATGGAGCTAGCATTAGCTCAATGGAGCACATGCCGTATTTGGGATTAATTAGTATAATTGCTGAATGTAACCTTATGGTTTAAGGTACCATCAAATACAGAATTACTTTCTTAACTCTGTGTAAGGGGCGCCTGGGTGGCTCAGTCGGTTAAGCGTCTGCCTTTGGCTCAGGTCATGGTCCCAGGGTGCTGGGATCGAGTCCCACATCGGGCTCCCTGCTCAGTGGGGAGCCTGCTTCTCCCTCTGCCTGCCGCTCCCCCTGCTTGTTGTGCTCCCCCCCCAACAAATAAATAAAATCTTTAAAAAAAAAAAAGATTTAACTCTGTGTAAGATATGTTAGTGACCATGATTGTCATTGAACACTTTGATTGACTCTTTGTAGATTACCCCCCCAAATAAATAAATAAATAAATATTTTAAAAAAATGCCTCTTTCCCATGAGCCAGTCCTTCCTAGGCTGTCCTGGCCTCCTCAATGATAAATCTCTTTCAGCCTCTGCCTCCTAGGTGTTCGGTAAAATTTAGGCCAGAGAGACCTACTTGGGAAGGTGGAAGCTATTAGAAAATCTCTATTAGATAGTGTTCGGTCGTTTCCTAAATATCTTGAAAGGGAGAAAGGGATACACTAATGTCAGTCTTCTGAATTTACATGCTGTAGGACAGAAGTTCATGATTGACCTACAGGAAAAAAAAGCCTGCCACCAAATGATAGAGTGTAATTGTGAGATTAGTCCTCATGGCTGGTTAATGTCTTAGTGTCACATTCACCACAAGTTTGTCAAGAGTGAAGGAGGTACCTGAAAGCTTTTAGTTCTTTGGTTAAACGTGTGTTACTCTGTGACATACAGCAGATGTTCAGTAAGCATATATTTTTTAATGCTTTTATTCTTTAATTGTATTCATTATGCTTCCTTGTTTCCTGATTGTGTCATGAAACAGGCACAGTGGATTCTGTTCTTGGGGGTTTATGACTCTGATGAAGGGAAAGGAGTGTGTGGAGTTTCCATAGTTTAGAAAAAAGATATAAATAGTGTGGTATCTAAGGGGGAGAAGGAAGGTGAATTTGTAGTCTTTTATTTTGTCCTCTTGGAGTTCCACCTTTTCCTTAAAAAAGCAGATATTTCCAGACCTGAGCCAGTTATTTTTTACTTACATGTCAAATTGGATTTCTGTGACTGGGCTGCGTAGCTGCTGTTTCCCTTTGTACTCTGCCTCACTTTTATTTTGTATGGGATATAAATGTTTCAGATTCCCTGTCTTTCAGCAGTATTTCAGCCCCAGTGGTGGTGTGGTTGGAATGTTTGTTAGAAGAAGCAGATGTTTGAGGAAGATAGCTTGACCGCCCAGAGGAGAGATATATTTTTACCTATAAGTCTTTTTTTCCTTTCTCTAGTTATATTTTCCTGCAGTTCTTCCTTCTTCCCCATTCCTACCTAACTTCTTGCCTTTTGTCCCATTTTTTCCATTTCTTTGCGTCTTCTGGTATCTTGGTGTTTTTCAGATTCTTGGGGAATGAGGGTGGCAGCAAGTCTTCATTAGGTGACTCATATACACTTGTTTCTTTAAAATCAAGAGATATGGTATTGTCCTTTGGGCCACATGTCCACATGTCTACTCCCTCCTTCCAAGTCTTTTCAGATTAATTTCCCCAGGTTTTTTTTTTTTTTTTTAAAGATTTTATTTATTTATTCATGAGAGACAGAGAGAGAGAGAGAGGCAGAGGGAGAAGCAGGCTCCCAAAGAGCAGGGAGCCCGATGCGGGACTCGATCCCAGGACGCTGGGATCATGACCTGAGCCGAAGGCAGATGCTTAACCATCTGAGCCATCCAGGTGCCCCTTAATTTCCCCAGGTTTATCCTTAGTTGCCCTAAGCAAACTGTTAAGTGGAGCTTGAGAGTGCCCCATTTTTTTGTATGCCAATGCCCATCTTTCCCCAAAGTACATTCTTGTTTTTTTATTGGAATGAGGCAGTTGTGCATTTCTAGGGCAGGAAAATCACAAAGGGGCAACATTGAACCAGGCAGTTAAATGAGTTTATTCTTGTATTTTGGATGTATTTCATTATCTGAATGGAAATGAAAACAACAGAATCCTTTGGGTGGGCAGTTTTTCTCTTAGTTCTAGTAAGCCCGTTCAGCTGAAAAACATGGGGATAAGCAGCTCTGAACTTTTGAAATAAAACAGAGAAGGTAAATGACTCAGTAAAATACATCAAATTACAGGGTGGAAAAACCTTAGAACAATGACTAAGAAAATACAAGGGTGGAATGAAGGAACAACTAAGTATATGAGGTGGAAGTAGGAGATTTAGTAGGGAGTTTTCTACTGAGTAGGATATGACCTTATACCAATTATGATGCCCACCAGAAACTGAGGGTTACTTAGTGTTTAAAGGTTTTTGTTTCCTCTTTTTTGTCCATCTGACAAATAGAAATGATCCTTGGTGGTCAGGAAGACCCTTGTACATCATAGATGCTCCATAAATATTTTTTCTTGGTAAAGCAATTATTCCGAGATAAGGAACTGATCTTTGATAAATCCCTATTTATCCTAGATAAATCCCCACATAGCAGAGTGTTTGCAATGCCAGACTCTTAAGTGCTATTTGAGGTGATTCATCACTCACACTGGCACCTCCCCAGTGTTGAACTTGTCTTTTTGGCTCTTGTGTTGATTTGGCAAGTGGAGAGAGTCCTGACTGTGTACATTTCCCTTCCTAGGCTGATACTTCTGTTTGGAGAATTAACTCACTGAGGAAACTGTTCAGCCACAGCCTTCTGTTCTTTCCATTTAATAAGATACAGTTTGTTTTATTTTGTTTTCATTGTCTTCTTGTTTCAGGGGTTGGGGATTAGCATCTGATTTGCTAGAATGACATACATGTATAGCTTTAAGACTTAGTTGGGCTCCAGATTTTCACAGAAGAGGGTATTTCCTCATCTTAAGATAAGGGATATGGTTAAAATCCCTGAATTTGTTGTGATCTAGCTATGTCCTGGTTGGGGGTTGGGGGGCGTGGGGAGACAGGAGGACTCTGATACCTGGTGAATTTTGGGTTTTAGCATTGATCAGGTGATTTCTCCCCGAGTTGTTGATTCTTGCATTATGGACTGGTCTTATTTGGTCTTCAGCATGGGTTACGATGACTTGTATTCCCACTAACAGTATTTTGAGTGCTCTGGTCTACTCCCTTTTTGCCAACACATGACATTATTAGCTTTTGGTCTTTGCCAACCAGTAATAAAGGACAAAATGGCATCCTGTTATGTTTTAACTTGTACTTCTTTAATTCTAAGTGAGTGTGAAAATGTTTCCTACCTGTTAGCCTTTGAAACTCCCTAAGCCTGACACCTTGAGCAAGGTGCTTACTTTTAATTTGCTAACCTTCACTTTCTCGATCTTGAACATAGGGATGGTAACAGTGCCTCCCAAGTGGGGCTGCTCTAAGGATTAAGTATGGTAATGCCTGTAAAGGGGTAGGGTATCTGGCGGATAGGAAGCACTAAATAAATGCTAGTTGAATTATTTTCTTTGCAGTGAATCTGAAATCCTGCACCACGAGAAGCAGTACGAGCCCTTCTACTCCTCTTTTGTTGCACTTTCCACACACTATATTACAACAGTTTGCAGCCTCAGTGAGTATTCCACTCTTTTCACTCCCTTCTGAGGGCTTGGGGATGGGGGGTGGTTGTGTCTCCTCTTTGTAGGGTGTCTGAACAGGTTGTTAATGAAGTATGTATTTTAACACTCCTAACCTGTTCACCCAACAGTAGAGACCGCTATCAGTCCGATAAGGCTCTGGAAGTTCCGTTACTTAGACCAACCAAGAGGGATTTAAAAAGTACTTGGTTTGGATGTCTGCTTTGTAACCCATTATGTTAACTTGTACCTTCTTAATCAAAAGCATTTTATTGATTTCATACACGTAATTACTAATGTGTTAATTTTTGGGGGTTGAGGGGGATGGGCGGATACTGATCTGAGGTTCAGGGCCACTCATGAAGGCTCTATTCCTTATTTGGTTTTGGTGAGAAAGTAAATTCTCCTTTTGTATTCTCTGGTATGTCAAGGGATTTCAATTTCAGTTCCCCATCTTTTAAACCTTTTTTTTTTAACCCTGGTTTTCCACTATTTCTGAGTCTTTGCATTTTTACTTGTTTAAAAAAATCCTAACTCAGAGAGTTCTGAAAGAATTCTAATTATTTGTTTCTTCAAATAGTTTGCTAAGCAAGTAAAATGAAAGGAAGCTGTAGGGTTGCTGGATAACCGTTGTGTGCAGTGCTGTTTATTACAGGCACTGGCTACTGATGGAGGAATCACTTTTAGCTTGAAGACATTTTGTGTAGGAAGCCTCTTGTAAAAGGCATTTAGAACCTGTGGGAAAGGAGAGGTATTATATTCTAGTAGTTAAGAGTGTGAACTCTAGAGCCAGACCTCCTGGATTTGATTCTAGCCCTGTGACTTTGGGCAAGTCATTTAACCTCTCTGTGGTGTAATTTCCCTATCTGTTACGTAAAGGAAGGGGAGCGGGTAAAAATATCTACCTCAGAACATTGGTTTAAGGATTAAGTGGGTTAATATATTTGAAATGCTTCGTACATACTGTGATGTATTTCCTATTACAATGAATTTCCAGTAAATGTAAGATAGATTGATCTAGTAGCAGTGTATGGTTATCAGTGCCAGGATGCCTTTGTTTGGCCCTTGGATTGTTGGTTCTGAATGACTGTTGTCATGGAATGGTGCTGGGAATGCTGGACACATGGAGCTTGGGAGTTGTCTGGTTAGATGTACTGACCGTGAAGCTGACCAAGGCTATGGCGGTCTGAGGTTAAGTGAAGCCCATTCCTTTCTCAGTTCCCCGGAACCAGCTTCAATCGGTAGCAGCGGCTTGTAAAGTCCTGATCGAGTTTTCTCTCCTGCGTCTGGAGAATCCAGATGAGGCTTGTGCTGTGTCCCAGGTGAGAGAGATGGGCTCATCTGTGGCCCTTATTTTGAGGTAGGACTGTGACAGACTAGTGGAATAATGATGGACAGGGGTGGCATAGAGCAGGGGTTGGTGAACTTTTCCTGTATCGGGCCAGATAGTGAACAATTTGCTGACCATTTGGTTCCTGTTGAAACTAGTCTCTATTTTTTAAACTCTGCCTTTGTAGTATGAAAGCAGCCACAGACAATACATAAATGAACAAGTGTAGCTGTGGTCCAGTAAACTTTATTTACAAAAGCAGGCAGTGGGCTGAATTGGAGCTGTGGTTCGCCAGCCTCTGGTTTAGAGGGCTGCAGAGGCTTTTGCAAGGATTACAAACTTCCACGTTTCCAGGGGTCAGGCAAGTAACATAAAATGGGTGAAGTGTGCCAGTTGAAAAGGGTGCCTGACCCAGCTCTAAAGGGCCAATCACTGTGTAGCTCCAGCTGATTGTTGGCAGGCGGGGGTGGAGACTCAGTTGCTGTGTCTTGTGAATTATTGCGAAAGATACGAAATCTGGATTTGTATGTTGAACCTTCCATGTTTTAAAAAGTTAGCTATAACTTCAAATAAAAAAAATAAAAATCCAACAACAACACTGTGAGCATAATAAGACAAATTGGCAAGCCAGATATGGTCTGATCTCTGCTTTAGTGTTTTCCCTAATTTCAGTTCTTGATACGAACCTAAATTTGGCCCTGTGCCAGTGAAAAGTCCCCAAATAGTAGTATCTTCTGAAAGACATATTTGAATTTGTTTTCTTTTCAGAAACACTTGATTCTCCTCATCAAGGGCCTGTGCACTGGCTGTAGCAGACTAGACAGGACTGAAATTATCACGTTTACAGCAATGATGAAATCAGCCAAGCTGCCGCAAACGGTGAAGACACTCTCAGATGGTGAGCCTTCTTTTGCCAGACTGAGTTCTTTGGCTACTTCCCTGGCCAACTTTTTCCTGCTTTGGCTTCTAGTGGCACTCTGCTCATCCCTGTTTGTGGTTTCATACTTAACAGTGGAAGATCAAAAAGAGCTGGCTTCACCAGTAAGCCCAGAGCTGAGGCAGAAGGAGGTACAGATGAATTTTTTGAACCAGTTGACGTCAGTTTTCAACCCTAGAACTGTAGCATCACCACCCGTAGGTCCACAGACTCCGGTGAGTTACTCCAGGCAAATGTCCTCATCCCTTGGGGGTTTTGAGATGATAATACTAGAAAAAAGTAACAAATGTATCTTACATTTATGATGTAAAATGATGTATGTGCCTAGGGTAGGAAGAAATAGAAGAATACAAACAAACAAGAAGCAAAACTTCCCCTAACTTTCTGTCCACTGTTGATACTATTTTGATGCTCATTCTTCTAAAATTTCTCAGGGCATATAAACAGATATAAAGAACATGTACACTTTTCTGTAAAAGGCATCACACTCTCTGTTAGTTGTAGAATATATATATCTTCAAGCTATGTCTTTTTTTCCTCCTCTTGGGACAATAACTTGTATTTTCCCTAGCATTAGAGAGGGACTCCCCCCTCATTACCTGGGAAGTCTGAAGAGTATCCATAGAACTTCTGCTTTGTTTGGACACTCGCTTAGATTCTGAACTGCAGGGCAGCAGTTGGTAGGTGATGGTATCATGATAGGCCTTTCACATCCTTTGTTTCTCTTTAGGCTGAAGGAGAAAATGATGAGCAGTCATCCACAGATCAAGCCTCTGCTATCAAAACCAAGAATGTGTTTATAGCTCAGAATGTAGCTAGTCTTCAAGAGCTTGGTAAGACTTTTAACTGTCGTCATAGAGCTGGTTTCTCTGCTTTCAAAAATTCTGTAAATGGAAAAGAATCAAGCGGCAGCCAGAGGCCTGTTTGTAAGGTCGAGCCTTGTCATTAATGCAGGTGGCTCAGAGAAGCTACTGCGAGTGTGTTTGAACCTGCCCTATTTCCTGCGCTACATCAATCGGTTTCAAGATGCAGTGTTGGCCAATTCTTTCTTCATCATGCCGGCCACAGTAGCAGATGCCACTGCTGTTCGCAATGGGTAAGGTGCTCCAGGGTGTATGCTTTACCTTCTAATGCTGCTCTCAAAAAGAGAGAAACTGGATAGTTTATGGCACGCCGACTTTCTTTAATTATCAGATTATAGAAGCAAGGGATTCAAACAGACGCTTTGGTTAACCTCCTTCTCTGTCATGTTCTAGTTTTCATTCACTGGTGATTGATGTAACCATGGCATTGGATACCCTTTCTCTACCCGTGTTGGAACCTCTCAATCCTTCTCGTCTGCAAGATGTGACAGTCCTCAGCCTAAGTTGTCTGTATGCAGGTGAGAGGTTATGATGTCTGATCTCATTTTCTCAGTTAAGCACAAGTATACTTTCTGGAAACCATGAGATCCTCCTGAATGCTCTGCTCTCTCCCCCTTACCCCTGAGGATCATCTGATGTCTCATCTAGATGAAATGAGGTCTCCATAGGAATCTTGAGAATTATCCCATTGTTCCACAGCTGGTGGCACGTTATATGCATATTTGCTTTCATAGTATGTGCAAATAGTAAATAATCTACTGTATGAAAAGCAAAATGCCAAGGGCTGTTGGGATATTGAGATAAATAATATGTAATCTGTGCCCTCAAGGATCCTACACTGAGAACAGTTAGGACCACATGGAATGATATACAATAGGAGATGATAAAGGCAATAAGGGAAGTGTAGAGTAGTTGGGTTCACAGAGAAGGGAGAGATGGAGTCTTGCTGTGGGAGCACATCTGAGGAAGCCTTCACGGAACAGGTGGTATCTGTTTATATTGATAAATACAACAGATGTTATTCTTCATGCTCCCACAGAATCCCCTTTCTTCCTGTTGCTCATGCTGCCTTGAGAGTGGGGACTGACAGCTGCTATTTACTCTCTTTTAAGTTATTATGACAGTGACTTTTTAACCCAATTCACTGATCCTTGGTTTTAAATACTGTAGTCCTGGTATGTCTTGGAAGATATAACAATTTCTGATGTTTACTTGGTTCTCTAAGTAAGGATTTGAACAGCTTTGGCAACCTGACCTGGGGAGCACCAAGAAATTGCTGAGGTTGATCATCTCCCTACATTCTTTTAATAGCTTTATTTTGAACATCTGGGATATAGGGATAGAAAGAGGAAGGCACTTTTAATTGGGTAAAACAGTAAGAATGACGGAGTTCTGTTGATGTACCTATAGGGCAGGTAGGATTGCAGCTTGGCTCTCCTGAGGAAGAGGCAGAAGCGGGACTCAAAGTATCCTAGAGTTTGGGGGAACATACTGTATAAGTGTGTGTGGAGGGAAGGGGTGAGGGGAGAGGATATGTGATTAGTGGGTATTGTACAGCCGGAGAGAAAGGAGGACACATCGCAGAGGTCTTAGAAATGCAGTCTCAGTCATTTGGACCATGTTCTATAGACAGTAGAAACCACTGAAAATTCTGAGCTATATTCAAGCAGCAGTGTGCAGGATATTTTGGTGTGGGGAAGTTCGGAGGCAGGAAGCTTTGCTAGGAGGATTTTTTGTAGTCATTCAGGCGAGACACCGTAAGAGCCTGAGCTAGGGCAGCAGCAGTGGGAAGAGAAAGCTAAAGATAATGGGAAAATGTGTTCTCCCTCAGCTCATCTCTGGTGCTTATTACCTTGTCCTCTGCCTTTGATTTTTGCAGTTTTTAAGTTGGGGTTTTTAATTTTTAGGGAATTTCTTGAATATCACATGGCTCTCAGTGTACTTAGTACTCAGGTTAAAGAGTCCTCAAAATTTTTTAGTTGGATTAAAGATCCCAGATTTGGGTTGTTGAAATTTGATGGCCTGGGATTTGACGTAAAGACAGGGATTTGGCCTTAGTGTCTTTGAGGAATATCAAACATGGAATGTTTTTCCCCACAATCTTGGAAAAATGGAAAGACATCTTGTGATGTTTTAAAGTTAATAGATTTTATTTTTAAAGCAGTTTTAGGTTTACAGAGAAGTCGAGCAGGTTATACAGAGTTCCCACCTACCCTCTCCCCCCAGTACCCTGTTTCCTTTATTGTTCATATATTGCATTACTACGGTACGTTTGTTATAATTGATGAACCCAGGATTTGATACACTATTATCTGAATCTTTTGTTTACGTCAGGGTTTCCTCTGTGTGAGACGGTTCTGTGGGTTTTGACAAATGTATAATGTCCTCTATTCATCATCACTATGACACAAGGTAGTTTCACCGCTCTGAAGTCCCACGTGCTCCACCTAGTAATCCCGCTCTCCCTACCCCCACCCCCAGAAACCACTGATCTTTTTAACTGTCTCCATGGTTTTAACTTTTCCAGAGTGTCCTAAAGTTGGAATCAGTTATATAGTATGTCGCCTTTTCAGACTGGCTTCTTCTGCTTGGAGTGCGCATTTAAGTTTCCTCCCTGATTTTTTATGACTTGATCGCTCGCCGTTTTTTTATTGCTGAATAATATTCTTTGTATGGGTGTGCCGTAGTTTGTGGTACATCCACCTGTTGAAGAGCATCTCAGTTGCTTCTCATTGTTGGCAGTTAAGGAAAAAGCTACAGTAAGTCCTCGTGTGCAGGTTTTGACGTGGATGCAGGTGTTCAGCTCATTCAGATAAATACTTCGGAGTGTGATTGCTGGACCGGATGGTAACACTATCTAGTCTTGCTCTTGTGGACATTACTCTCAGTCGTCAAATCATGGAATGGTTTGGGGTGGGTTGTGTTTTCTGTTTATGTTTTGGTGGACTCCTGGGACTGTGCCATGATTGGAATCTGTGCATCTTCTCTCCCACTGCCCCCAGGTGTGAGTGTGGCAACTTGCATGGCCATCCTGCATGTGGGTAGTGCCCAGCAGGTGCGGACGGGGTCCACAAGCTCCAAAGAAGAGGACTATGAGAGCGACGCGGCTACGATCGTCCAGAAATGTGTAAGTCGGGTCGCCTGGCCCCGGGGGCCTCTGTCGTTCAGTGAGGAGATAGTGCCAGGTCCACTCTTCCCAGGGAGAGGAAAGGATGTGGAGTCTTCTCCATCCCTTCCCCTTGGAGCAGGTCTAAGAGGTGGGCATTCACTTGGTTGGCTCTGTGGAAGGCACCGCGTCTTCGTGGTGGCAGTGGACCTTATGAAAGATGAGTCGCTCAGTCTGCACGTGTACTGAGGGCTTGCTGTGTGTCAGTGCACTTTGAGTAGAGACCTATAGTACACGAGATAGTCTCCGAGAATGGTGAGTGTGTAGGATGAGTCCCTGTTTTATACTGTGATCTGATGGGGGCCTGCCTGTGTTGCTTTAGATTGTTTGGGGGGGACATCTCTGAGAAGATGACCCGTGAGCTGAATATAATGAGGAGTCAACACCATGTAATGGTCAAGGAAAGTGTGATGGAATCCTATCTTTAGAAAGTGCCTTGAGGATATTTAATTCTTAAAGCGAAATTAATTTGGGTGGGATTAAGGTTTGTAATGAAGTAGGTCAGCTTGCTCAGATTTTTGTGTATGTTTGATGTTGGACAGCTTGAAATCTATGACATGATTGGACAAGCGATCAGCAGTTCCCGGCGGGCTGGTGGAGAGGTAAGAAGGGTGTCTCTGCTACATTCCTGTTTCATAGCTCGTAAGATCTCTGTGTCCATACTTTTCTTTTGTGCTTTTTCAACAGCACTATCAGAACTTCCAATTGCTGGGTGCCTGGTGTTTATTAAACAGCCTTTTCCTCATATTGAACCTCAGTCCTACTGCCTTGGCTGATAAGGGGAAAGAGAAAGACCCCCTGGCTGCACTCCGAGTCAGAGACATCCTTTCTCGTACAAAAGAGGGAGTGGGCTCTCCTAAACTGGGACCTGGGAAAGGGTACGTGTCTACTCGATTGCTACTCATGTTTTGTTTTGTGTCCCTGCCATTTTATGTTGATGGGGAGCTAGGGTTACCCCTCTCATCTTCACATCAGTAGAACAATTTGCCTGCATACCTGGTTAAATTTAACAACTAAGGTGATGATCATAGTCTCTTATGTCTACATCATAGCTGTGTGATTTTGGACAAATTGCTCATTTTTTTCTGAGCTTGTTTGTTTATCTTTAAGGGGGAAAATGTGTAATACATCTTTCAGGGTTTTTATGAGGTTCAAATCAGAAAAAAATGCTTCTGTTTTGTAAAACGGGTTGGTGTGACTTGCATTTAATTACTTTACTTGCATGTTTAACCTGTAAGGAGGAGTCTGTCAGTTGTTTCTGGCTTGCTTCCTAAAACATTTGCTACCGTTCTGACGACGTCTGGACAGTAAGCCCTGCTTGCTTGGAGAGGAGTTAGAGATAGGACTTCCATGTGGTTTGAGGTTTTATTTTCTAAGCCCAGCATTTCTAGATTTTATTTATTCATTCAGTCCCTACCATGTGCTGGGCTCTCTCCAGGCATTGAGGATGTAGCACTATTCAAAGCAATGTCTGTGCTTTTATGGAGCTTATTTTCTCATTGGAGCAACTAATAAGTTCACGATGGATTCTCATATGAGTGTTGTGAAGAAAAATAAGCCAGAGCGAGGGGCTAGAGAGTGACGGGCTGTTATTTTAATTAGGATGGCGAGGAATGGGCTCTAAAGATAAGATGGAGAGAACATATGTGAGGTGACAGAGTGAGCCATGGAAATTTTGGGGAAAGAATTGTTCAGGTTTGGAGGTGGAGGTATGATTGGCGTTTTTAAGGATCAGCAAAGTTGGTGTGGCTGGTTGGAGTTCTTGGGGAGGGAGAGTAGTAGAAAGTTAGGTCAGAGAGGTAGCCAGGGGCCAGATCTCCCAGGGCCAAGTGTTAATTTGTAAGTAGTGGAGGGTTTTCCCCAGGGGAGTGATCTGTTCTGATTTATTAGTTATTAGTGACCCGAGAACCCAGCTGCTTTGAGGAGAATAGATTGCAGGGTGTAAGGCGGGAAGGAGGGCGAGTAGTTGGGAAACTAATGCATTATTCCAAACGAGATAAAGGGACTTGGAATAGGGTGCTGGTGGGAAAGGCAGAGAGAAGAGGCCAAAGCAGCATGTATTTGGAAGGTACAGTTGACAGGATTTGCTGATGGCTTAGGTAGTGAGTGTGAAAAATATGACATAACAATATTTTGGCATGAGCAACTGGGTTGTATAATTTATGGAGACGGAACACTGGCTTAGGGCTTGGGTGGCAGGAAGGGGAAGAAGTAGAGAATTTCATCTTGGCCATGCTGAGTTTGAGATGATTTCAGATCTTTCTCTATGTGAGATGTTGAGTAGGCAGTTGGTATGGGCGTCTGGAGTTCAAGGAGGGAAGTCAAATTCTGGACCTCATTCAACAGATTATTCACTGAGTGTCTTCTCTGTCCCAGGCTCTGTGTCAGTTCTGGAATGCTGTGATGTACCAAAAAAAAAGACACATTTCCGAGAGACCTGAAGAGATATGTCAAATTGTATCTAGAGAGTATTCTAATAAGGGTACTTGGCCTGGTCAGAGAAATCAAGGCAGGCTTCCTTGAGGAAGTGTTAAATGAGCTGAAATTTGAAATAGATGTTGGGATGGTAGATAGTAGATACCAGGCAAAGAAGAGAGGTAAGCATGTTCCAGAGAGAATAGTAGTTTATGATTTTGTGAGTTTCTGTCTTCACACTTGGCACTGTAGCAGGAAACGGATGCTAAAAGGTCTATCCTTCAAAGTAGCAGTTATGTTTAAAAAATGGCTCTTGTTGGGACGCCTGGGTGGCTCAGTCGTTAAGCGTCTGCCTTCGGCTCAGGTCTTGATCCCAGGGTCCTGGGATCGAGTCCCACATCGGGTTCCCTGCTCAGCGGGGAGCCTGCTTCTCCCTCTCCCTCTGCCTGCCGCTCCCCTGCTTGTGCTCTCTCTGTCAAATAAATAAAATCTTTAAAGAAAAAAAAAAAGGGTCTTGTTTCTTGACGTTTAAAAGGAAAGCCTGTACCTTGTATAAGTTACAAATCATAAGAAGGAGGAAAATAAGTCATCCCAAATTCTACCACCCAAATTGGTAAAACATTCTTCCAGACATTTTTCGGTGCACGTATGTAAGTGTGTATGTTTACAGAACAGGATCGCCGTTAGAAAATATTGTAGATAACTTTTCAGGGGCGCTGTTTTGGATTCACTGTGAGTGTTTAATGGCTGGTGGTTTTCCACTGTATAAACACGCCGTTGTTAACTAATTACCCTATTGAAACACTTAATTTAGGCTATATTGAATTTCTTGTTTTGATAAACTATGCTTTGATAAATCTTCCTAAATGTAAATCTTTGTGAACTTGTTTAATTATCCCCTTGGGGTAAATTCCCTGAAGTATGATTGTTAGGACAAAGGGCACACTTATGTAAAAATTTGTAATATTTTGCTAGACTGTTCTGATTGCACTCTCACTAGCTGTGTGTGCGCATGTGCCCATTTCTCCCGGTCCTCTTTGACAGCGGCTGTCATTAATCTTCACGTTTTTCTAATCTTAAAGGAGAAAGATGGTATTACATCGCTCCTACTCGTATTTCTTTGTGAGTACGACTGTAACTATCTGTGTCTTTTGCCCCAGTTTTCTCTTTGGTATTTGTCCTTTTTTCTTACTGATGGACATGAGCTCTTCGTATATTTAGGTATACTAATTCTTTGTCCTGTGGTCATTTGGACCGAAAGAAAGTTTTACTCACATTTAATGTGTAAAACTTTGTTTTTATTCTCTTTGGTTTGTGACCAGATATTTTATAGAAGTTGGTGATTTTTACTTTTTTTTTCCTCAAAAGAATGGCTTTTTTTTTTCTTAATTGATGAGCAGTTTCTTATAAAAGGCTATGACTCTGGAACAGCCAGATGGAAGGGATACCTAGGGCAAGGTGCGGGGAAAGAACGTGGAGCATCCCTGCCCTCCGACACGTACCGCTCTCTCATCTCCCTGTATTCATCAGCCCAGAAGCTCTCTGAAAAGAATGACTTTTATTTTTTTTTTAATTTTAAATTTTTTTAAAGATTTTATTTGAGAGAGAGAGTACAAGCAGGAGGTGTGGCAGGCAGAGGGAGAGGGAGAAGCAGGCTCCCCACTGAGCAGGGGAGCCTGATGTGGGGCTCAATCCCAGGACCCTGGGATTATGACCTGAGCTGAAGGCAGACGCTTAACCCACTGAGCCACCCAGGCACCCCAAAAGAATGACTTTTAAAAAAGTTCAACCAACCTTTGAATGTCAGCATCTTTCACATCAACCAGTAGATTCGAACTGATAGTTTGAATTCGAAAACGCTATGTGTTTGGAAGACTTTCTTGTAGTCCTGGAGTTCTTAACCTGAAGCCTGTGGATCCTGAGGCAGGAAATGAGTGGGCTTCAGGGAGATGAAGCTTTTCAAATTACATGCGATATTGTGTGTGCATTTTTTTTTTTCCTTCTGGGGAAAGGTCCATAGATTCTGAAAGGGGTCTAGGCCCCAAATGGTAAGATCCCCTGTTTTTGAGGTTATAATTTGTTGTGTTTACCGTTTTCTTCGTGTAGGCACCAAGGATTTGGGGTGCTGTCAGTGATATTGGCAAACCATGCTGTCAAGCTGTTAAGCTCTCTCTTTCAAGACCTGCAAGTGGAAGCTCTGCACAAGGTGAGGGCTCGTGCTCGGGGTCAGCATCTTCATTGCTGGCTTCACTTCTGGGGAAGCTACCTTGAACCCCCCGCTCTTGTTGTTCCTTCCTGCTCAGTTGGAGGACATGAATTCTCTTTTGCTATGGTTCCCTTCAGGGCTGGGAGACAGATGGTCCCCCTGCGGTCCTGAGCATTATGGCCCAGAGCACCTCCATCCAGAGGATCCAGCGGCTGATTGACTCTGTCCCACTGACGAACCTGCTGTTGACATTGCTCTCAACCTCCTACAGAAAGGTGGGTGGTGTCACACCGCTGAGAATTGGGAGGATTTTATATAACCCTTTCAAAATGAATAAGATTGTATACCGTGACCTTTTAAACTCAAAAGTTGTGGTAGTGGTTTTGAAAATGAGTGGAATTCTTGAATGATTGCACACATTTGAATCTGTTGATTGCAGCGTTGTGACACGTATGGCTGCTTGGTGCTTTGTGACAGTTGTCCTGCTGATGCGGAAACTTAGAGGGCACTCTGGAAACACTCCTGTTTCAGTTCTTGTTCACGGCTTTGGCTTTGGAGAGCCTTGGTGGGATAAAGTGATCAGAGCCCTGAAGGAAGGGCGCTGTTAGAAGGACTTCTTGGATTTAGAGGAGAGGAAAAGGCAACAGAGAGAATGTCTCACGTGGTGAACGAGGTGAAGTAGGGTGGCTCCGTTTTTGTGACTAGCAGTTACAAAAGCTTGCTGCTTTCCTAGGCCTGTGTCCTACAGCGTCAGAGAAAGGGCTCCATGAGCAGCGACGCCAGCGCCTCGACCGACTCAAACACCTACTATGAGGATGATTTCAGCAGCACGGAGGAAGACAGCAGCCAAGGTAGAGAGGCCTCTTTTCGGTCTCCCAGGAGACAGGTGTCAGAATGCAACAGGAAGCTCCCCCCCCCCCAGCGGCTTCTTCCTTTCATGTCCTGTTTGCCATCTTCACCTGCCTAGCGTGCATCTTGATTTTCTGTGCCCTTAAAGGTGACATGTTATTACAAATAATTTGAGCTGTGGAGAGACTGAAGGACAGAAACTGCTCTCAGGCCAGATTGCTTTTCAGCCCTTCCCTTCCAAGATCAGAATACGTCTCAGTTCCTCTTTTTGTGGGGGCTTGTTTGGTGAACTCTGTTCTGAGCTTTCCCAGTGCAACTCCAGAGGTTGTGTGAGAGGGGTTGGGTTTGGCTGTTGCCATCGATGTGTGGCTTGGGGAGGCATAGGGAGAGGAACTCCAGACTCTGTTGCAGTGAACAACAGGGCAAAATGAACATTCCCTCCTGTCTTAGTTTAGAGAGAGATGGAATAAGAGAAATGTCTCAGGTTCTTTATAATCAGGTTTGGGGGAATTATGTATAATATTGTGAAAGGTGTAGCTCTTAATTTGGGCTTTAAAACTGATATGCAAGAACAAATTTGTTTTTCAAAATGTTTGGCTTGTTGCCAGTAAAGTAAGGTTGTCTCTCTTTCTTTATTGGGCTCCTTTAAGAAATACCAGTTTTGGGGCGCCTGGGTGGCTCAGTCGTTAAGCGTCTGCCTTCGGCTCAGGTCATGATCCCAGGGTCCTGGGATCGAGCCTTGCATCGGGCTCCCTGCTC